TATAGAGAATGGAACCTGCCTTGTTTTTGGTTACAGACCGACCTGCTGCTACTATTGGACTGCCTGACATTTTAATTTTTATTAAGAATTTGAGCCACCCAAACAGCAATTTTGTCTTACAGGATCCATCAGTAGCAGAAACCTGGTCCAACTATTATCAGTAAAAATGATCAGTCTGTTGGAGAGATGGAGGTTTTCAGTGGGAAACAGCCAAGCCTTGTGAGAAATTGGATCCAGGCACTGGAAAGCAAGGCCTCTGCTCATTCCCCAAAACTTCAGTTTCTTCTTTCCTGCATGTGGTAGAGAAGCACCACTGCAGGCAGATCTGTGTGGTTCTCTCTTTAGGGGCGCAGGGCTGACTGGGCCCGGAATCCTACTGCAAGTTCTTTGGAGAGAGAATCTGATTGGCTCAGCTTAGGTCAGGAGCTAACTCTGATCCAATCAGCTGTGGCCAGGTGGGTCCACTGCCCAATCAGAAGGTTCTTCTAATAAATTGCAAATTCTCTGGGAAGAGAATCTGATTGGCTCAGCTTAGGTCAGGAGCTAACTCTGATCCAATCAGCTGTGGCCAGGTGGGCCCACTGTCCAATCAGAAGGTTCTTCTAATAAAGAGTTGGAAGAATGGAGAGGCATGCTAGGATTAGCTTCCAAATGAAACTGATGCCACTGTGATTATGTAGGAACTTTTATTTTTCTAATCTGACTTGAAACACGTGTTCTAGCAAACAACTGGTGCCCAGCTCATTGCCATTAACTGGTTGATTCATTCATTCATTCATTCATTCATTCATTCCTATTGAGGTATAGATGGCACACAATATTCTGCTGGTTTCAGGTGTACAACATAGTGATTTGACGATTGTACACATTATGCTCTGCTCACCGCAGTGTTACCATCCATCACCACACAACGTTATTACAACATGGTTGACTATATTCCCTACGTTGTACTTTTCATCCTCCTGACGTATTTATTTTGTGTCCGGAAGCGTGTATCTCTTTATCCCCTTCATTTATTTCATCCATCCCAGTACCCCTGCCCCTCTGGCAACTACCAGTTTGTTCTCTGTATTTATGGGTGTATTTCTGCTTTGTTTATTTGGTTTGGTTTTTAGATTACTGGTACAAATGAAATCATATGGGATTTGTCTTTTTTTGACGTACTTCACTTAGTGCATTACCTTATAGGTCCATCCATGGTGTCACCCATGGCAAGATCTCATTCTTTCTCTGTGGCTGAGTGATTTTCCACTGTGTACACACGCGCGCGCGCTCACACACACACACACACACGCACACACCATTTTCTTTATCTATTCATCCATTCATCTGTCGGTGGACTTTTAGCCATCACTTAATTTTATTTAAAAAAAAAAGTGTGTTTTGTTTTGTTTTTTAAGAGAGAATGTGGAGGCGCAGAGGGAGAAACAGTCTTAAGCAGGTACCATGCCCAGCGCAGAGCCCAATGCGGGGCTCGATCTCACGACCCGGAGATCATAACCTGAGCCCAAATCCAGAGGCAGACACTCAACTGACTGAGCCACCCAGGTGCCCCTACAAAAAACATTGTATTGGAGCACAGCCATACCCATTCATTTCTGTGTTGTCAGTGGCTGCTCTCCCACTACAATAGCAGAGTTGAGTAACCGATACAGAAGCTGCCTTGCAAAGCCTGCAGTATTTTCTGTGTGGCCCTTCAGGAAACGCTTCCCAACCCCTGCCTTAGAATCTCATTCAGTTCCGTATCTAAACTGTTCTCCAGTGTTCCATGTGGGTCATTTCCACTCTCCTCCAGCCAGCACGGGGGCATTTCCGGACCTTGGCTCATTTGCATACCACTCCCCTGATGTCAGAGGTGCTACGTGGCATTGGTTTATTCTTCCTTCTACCCGTGTTCTTAGGACAGGGCAAGGCACCAAAGTCTTTACACGTCCTTGTCGATTGACTTAAAAAATTTCTACAGATGCCACAGTATTTCCTAAGGTGTGAAGCACATTGCACTGGTGATTTGTAAAGTGATTTGAGGTTCGTGCCTGAGATTGTTTGGAGGTGGTACATAGATGTGGTACTAAATAAAAGGAAATCACATCGTGATAAGTTTATTCTCTCTTTCTGTTTTCTATCATCCTTTCTAATGACTTGAACAAGAAGATCTCATCTGAAGACAATATGCATGCCGTTAATAGTTTTCTAACATTTGCTAACACTGTTTTTTCCTTTAACAAGGAGAACATGCAGGGGCTGGCTTGGAACCTTCAGCAGCTAGCGATAGCTAGCTGGAATTTCCTAGCGCGGCTTCGCTTTTATTTATTTTTATGCTGATCTTCCATTTATGGCTAGTGATACTGGCTTGCCATTAATAGTGGTGATCCACAGTTTCCTTTCTCAGATAAATTTAGTTCAGTAAAAATGTGACTAGGTTTTTAAAATATGAAGCAAATACCAGTTTAGGTGATAGGAGAAGATGTTAAAAAAAAAAAAAAAAGGCACATGAATGACTGATCGAAGTTTGGGAAACTTGTGTTAAAGTAACTGACATAGGCACAAAACAGTCCTGGGGCCCAGAGCGGGGAGTGACCCATTTGGTCTCAGTGCATCGCTGAGGGATAGAGAAGAAAGTGACATCCAAGCTGAATCTTTGATTTTCTGGGCAGTGAGAGAGCGTGGAAGGACACTGGAGACAGTGGGATAGAAGACTCAAAGGAAAAGAAAGAAAATGATGTAGTCCTGGAACTGTGTGGCTTATGGGAGTCCCCGAAGGACTGTACACACTCGAGCAGCATGGGCAGGGCTGCATTTTTGTAACAGTTGTTAGCTGGAGCAGGTTAATGTCTCTGAGCCTCTGTTTATTTATCTGTAGAGTGGGGATAATTGAAACAGCTGTAGGATGTCCGCCCTGCCCCTGGTGCCTGGGGAATTCCCAGCCCTCTGTCCTGCTTCTCCTCTAGGCAGGAGGCTAAGATGTCCCATCATGACCCCGTTGGCATTCGGGGGTGTCTGGGCCCCCTCCCCTCTGTCTTGGGCAGTCTAGGAGTGGATGTTTACAAGTGTGTAGGTTTGTTAGATGATGCCTTGACCGGTGGTGACAGGTCAGTGGGGCTGTCCACACTCGAAGCTGACTCAGCATGGAGCCCCCCTACTGCACTTGGGAGGTGGGGGAGGGGAGGCTCCTCAGCTAAAAGCTCTTCTTTCTACCATCAGCCCCGCTGCCCCTGTGTCTTCTGGCCAAGTCACTTCCCTGCCTCCTCCCTGCACTTGCCCCATGCCCAGCATTCTCTGGAATCTGGGAGCAGAAAGCCCCTGTCTCTACGCGACTCTTCACATCTTAGAATACTGACCTCCTAGAGTCGTGTTTCTGCCTCTGTGAGGGCTGGGCGAGGGGAAACAGCCCTTGGGGGTCAACGAGAGACCGGGGGAGATGGGAAACATGCTGAGGACACACAGCCTGGCCCATTAAGCTCCACTCTCTCTATGCATCTGCATGGGCACTGAATAAATGCCCAGCAGGTAGGATTTGCTCAGCTTGGCAGCCCTTTCTGTGGTGGGGCCAGAGGGGAGAAGTTGAGAGCTGTCCTGTGGTAGAGAAGTGTGTGCTGGGAACTTCCGTGCTAAAGGCTCTGAATTCCTGGCTTTGCATTGCCCATGGCTACCCTGACCGTGGTGAGAGCAGGAGACAGGGCCTCTGTATGAGCTGGTTGGCTCAGCCTCGAAGCTTCCATGCAGTCAGACTCTTACCATGAGGATAAGAGCTGAATGGAGGGTGCCCAGCTGCCCTCCTACCTCGGAGAGCCTTCCAGGCATCCCTCCCTCTGGCCTTAGGGCTCTGTCGTGTTCTCTGGTCCCCCAGCTTGTCAGGTAGAAGCATTTTATTTGCTTGACCACCTAAACTCCTTGAGGATTTTTCTAGAGCTCTGGGCAAGTACAGCGTTTAAAGGCAGAGACTTTAGAGTTGGACAGACCTGAGTTCAAATCTGGTCCCCTCTCTAATTGAGTTTGCTGTGCTACAGGTTTCTCACCCCCCGTGAGCCTTGCTTTCCTGTAAGATAGGTTTCTTAATGGCACCTGCCTTCTTGATTCTTACACAATGGGATGAGAAGTAACAAATGAAAACCACTCCTTGCCGGGCACGTTGATAAGTGCTCAGAAATGTAGTGGCTGAGTGGCTGAGATCACTGAGGTGATCACCTGCCAAATGCCCGACACAGTGCTTGCAGTAAATGCTTTTTTCAGTTTGATTGCTTCTTCCTCCAGGAAGTCTTCCCAGAAGCCCCCAGACCTGATCAAGCCTCATGCAATATGGTACTGCCCTGTGCTTCTTCTAAGAAGCTATTTGGTAACAGTACCTACTGGCCACTGTGGCGTCTGACATGATATGTCCTGAGCCACACCGGTTAACATGCTGGGGTGGGGACCACAGCTGCATAGAAGGAAGTTGCAGGACAGCAGGAGAGGATGTTCAAATATTATGCTAATCATCTCTGTGATTAATATCTGAAGTCTTTCTTCCTCTGGATGGCAGGGTCGGAGAACATGCCTGCCTATTTATGGCCATATTCCCAGTACTTTGCAGGCTCTTAATGAATATTAAATAATTGAGTGAATAAGGGAACGAGTGTTCCACATTCAGTGTTCTCAGGAACGCACTCGCGCCCTCCTTCAACAACTATTTATCGAACATCTACTATGTCGCAGGCACTACTACACCAGTGAAGAAAACAAGCAAAGACACTTTCCCTCAGGTGGTTTGTATTCTAGCCCTGGGGGCTGGGCATTGGTGCGCACCCCCAAGGGATCAGTATTCGTGTGTTGCTGTTGGGACCCTGCTTGTTGACTGGGTTCAGCCGTTCAAGGCATGAGGTCTGTGGACAACGCCATCCCATGAGTTGGTGTCCGCAGACAGCATCTGGGCAGAGCTTAGAGTGGATTTGAGTGATCGCATCCTTCCCTGCCAATCCCCCGGGCCCTTCCAACCACCCTGACAGTCTTCCTCTCTTTCCCAGGTCATGCTCTCCGAGCGGAAAGGCACGGACGAGCTCTACGCCGTGAAGATCCTGAAGAAGGACGTGGTGATCCAGGACGACGACGTGGAGTGCACGATGGTGGAGAAGCGGGTGCTGGCCCTGCCAGGGAAGCCGCCGTTCCTGACCCAGCTGCATTCCTGCTTCCAGACCATGGTAACTTCCCCCTCGGGGGCGTGGGGTCTGGCCATCCCGTCCCGGGTGCTTCACCGGCCTTCCGCCTAAGCCCTCCCAGCAGCACCCACCCCCATTTTTCCACTCTAGAGACAGGAAGATGGGGTGCCCGGGGGGAGGCTGCTGAGAGTTTCCGAGGCGGCCACTGAGAAGCTATTCCCCTAGGCAGACGCTATCACAATGAAGATAAAGGAACTCGGGCCATCGGTTTAATAACCAACAAAGCAGGGTCTTTCTCAGACAGCCAGAGGTGACTCAGGGACAACAACTGAGAACTTTCAGTCTCACATATGCGATGTTATGGCAGAGCTTGTGGAGGGGAACGAGTGGGAAGGAAAGGAAAGGGTGCGTGTGCTTAGGTGGTTACTGTCTGCCCTTTAGACCCTGCGGTCAATGCTCTCGTGCATTCTGCCAGTTGTGCGGACTTCCTGAGGGGGGCGTTGTCTGAGAACACAGCCTTCCGAGGACCCCCAAGGCGGGGATACAGGGGCTCGTGAGCACAGAACTGTGACTCGCAGGAAGAGAAGGGGACGTGTGTGTGCGATCTGCTGTTGGCTGATTTCAGCTCTATCTGCGAGAGCAGTGGCCATCCCTTTAAGGAACCTTTTACCTTTTACCTGTTCAAATGAGACCCTGGCCTCCATACCAAGGGAAGGGGGTGGCCAGCTCCCCAGTGCAAAAAGGTACAAAGTTCATTCTTGCCTCTGGGGCTTCTAAGGGCCAGTGGCCCAGTGACTTAAAGATGCTTTAAGGGATTCTTGAAGATTATTTCGATTCTGTGCAGTTCTCACTACGCATGCTAATTTTAGAGCCCACCCCCTATGTGAGATGGGATGCTTTTGTATGTTGCATATAATTTAAAGCTTGGGACTTCCTCTCTCCTCCAACATCACCAAGTCCTGTCCTCTACTAGGTTAGATTCTACACTCCCAGCCTAGAAAGATCCAAATCTGGCCCTGGGGTGGGTTTTATCAGTGCAGACCACTCATTGGGCTTAGAACTGCTGTATGTGAAAGGGGCAGAGCTGGAGGTTGGCTCCTTCCCTGTTCTGAGAAGTTTCTTGATGCATTTTGGGGTCAGAGGGACCTTGGTTCAGATCCTGGCCCTGTCACTTACCACTGGGTGGCCTTCAGCAAATTCTAAAACCCGTCTGGCCTCAGTTTGCTCATCTGTAAAATGGACAAACTGAATGAAGCTGCATCCCGAGGTGGTTGTGAGGAGGGAATGAGATTCGACATGAGAAGCCTTTGACACAGTGCTTGTTGCCGGGCTGATGCTCCGTGGATGTACCTTGCGCATCTCACAGACAGACCGCATACGTTTTGGCTTTGACCAAGTGTTCAGGGATAGAGCCAAGCAAACCAGGTCCTGTTCTTGAGAAGTTTATGGTCTTGGAGCAGAGGCAACAGACATGGGACAGTCACCAAACAGTGCAGTAGGGGATACGGTAGAACCTGGAGAAGCAAGTGGGTCCCTAGATTGTCCCCTCATTGGCAATATGGCTTCCATGCTCTCAGCGATATGATTTTCTAGGGGGTCAAGTTCCCATTCCCAGAGAGTCTCCCTACAGCAGGCCATCGGGGGAGGGCACATTTTAGGCAAGTGTGTATAGTATTACCTGCAGGGACTTGGTTTGCCAGCATCACGCTGGGCTTTCCTGGGGGCTGGGCCTCCTAGAACGTCCTTCACACCACTGCAGGCACCAAGAGCCGGGGTCGTGTTTGCCAAAGTACGGTGCGTGCATCCCTGTGCAAAATGGTCCTGGGTACGAAGGGTGACTTTGGCTGGTGCACGGATGTTAAATTACATTTACCTTTTAATCCGCTTTAATTCTGAGTGCCTCAAGGGAGATGCTTCGTTTGGTGTCAGCCCACCTGTACCACCTTTTTTAACACAGAGTACCAGGCTTCAGGCTCTGAGCTTTGGCAAACACCAGTTTCTAGGTCATTGGTTTGCTTTTATTTGATATCTATATATTTTTTTCTTTTTACAGATTTCTTCCGTTTATGATAGCACGGTAAAGTCTTTAAATTTTTAAATGTTGAGGTATTATAAAGCAAATACAGAAAACCATACAAAGTAGATGTCTTAGTGATGAGTTATTATAAGATTAAGTTCCTCAAACCAACCGCCAGCCCGGTTGAGAAGCAGAACTTTGGCCAGCCACTCTGGAATCTTCTTCACGTTTGAATCTCTATCTCGCAGCCAGCGGCCAACTGCCTAGCTTGATTTCCTTGTGTCTTTACAGTTTGATCACTTGAGTCTTATCAGTCTCTTAATATGATAGTTTAATCTTTCCCGTTTTTAGAAACCGGCTGTGTCTTCTAAGCCTTTTAATACAGTGATTTCTCCCTTCCATCCCCTCCTTTTATCTGTCCCCTCATCTGCTGAAGATGGTGGGCTGTTTGATCCGGAGCATTTTCAGTCTGGATTTGGTTGACTACACAGTCGTGGGGCTCCTGCACGTGCCCACCCACCTCCCACCCCGCCACCATCCTTGGTGTTTTCCTGCAAATTGGTAGCCAGACCTAGAGACTTGGCCAGACTCAGGTCCGATCCCTTTGGTAAGAATGGAGAAGGTGCGCTCTTTCAATCAAAGGCGTGTAATGTCTCGTGTCCCTCTTTCTGGGATGTTGGCAACCACTGAGAATTTGTTGCCAACCACTAACACATGGTGCCTCGGTCCCTTAATGGCTGGTATTGTCTTCTGCTGTTTCTTTGCTGGGTGTTGGTTGGAGTGCCTCTAGGAAGGCGGGCTGCCCCTCCTCTGTTGCCTGGTCCTGGTGGGCACCATTCTTTTTTTAAGATTTTTATTTATTTATTTGATAGAGATCACAAGTAGGCAGAGAGACAGGCAGAGAGAGGAGGAAGCAGGCTCCCTGCTGAGCAGAGAGCCCGATGCGGGACTCGATCCCAGGACTCTGGGATTATGACCCGAGCCAAAGGCAGAGGCTTTAACCCACTGAGCCACCCAGACGCCCCCCTGGTGGCACCATTCTTGTAGGAAAGGCGGGATCAATACTTGATTCTTTCCTGTTATTGGACAGTTTGTCATGAATTGGTTCATGATTATGCTTCCAAGGTGACTAACATTTGCTTTTAACATAAAACTGTTTCCTAGAAGAAGCTCATCAAGGTAAAGAAAAACATGAAGTGAGCTAAAGGTCGCATCCTACGGGGTCTTGGCACAGGTGGTGAAGGTCACTCCAGAACTGGAGTTTTAGGGAATTAGGTGCTAAAGGCACTTAGGGGTTGGCAGAGACCAGACCAAACCGGATTCTCAAACCTCTAGCCTTGTTCATCCCACATCTTCTCTTCTTCCCATTGGGGTTCCCCAGGGTCACTGACTGACATCAGTAGATCAAGAAGAGATCTTGTTCTCAAGCAAGGGGCTGGAACAACTTAGAGCACAATTTCAATTTCAACTGAATGGATCGAGATGGGGAGGATTCATCATGTGTGACTAATATTAATTCATTAGTAAGCAATACCTTTGTTAGTAATTAACCGCTTAAAAAAATGAGAGCAGAGTGGATTTGAGGTGATTCTCTTCATCTTCCCCTCCCCCACTCACTTGTATTTCAGTATGCTTTCTGGCATTCAACAGCGGGGATGAGGTTCACCTGGGAATTGTGCAGTGCCCGGGGTCCCCTCGAGGGGTTCAGTGGCTTCGAGTCTTGTATGCGGACAGAAGCCCCATGTTGGCGGTCAACCCACAGTCTCCTGATCCCGCAAGGCCAAGGATGGAACAGGTCGCCATCTTGCTGGTGCAGATCAGATGAAGTCGCTACCTCGTCTCTAAGTCGCTACCCTGTTGTGTGGGGAAAATGTACCTTCAAATGTCAAGTGTGCTTGGCTTGAGGAGACGCCCTCAGTGGCCCGCCGCCAGAGTCAGAGGCCACTGGGGACCGAGCAGGTGCCCCTCCTGTTCCCCCTTCCCCCAGCTGCAGATAGCGTTTTCGAGCACCTATATTTTGATTTTACATAAATTAAATATACGTCAGAGACACAGTAATGCCTGTGACACATGAGGCACAGGGTTACACTCTTAAGCCACATGACAGCCTTTGGATGGGTCCTGTCTTCAGCCTCTAGGACAAGCAGACTGAGGCCACAAGCAAGTCATTTCAGGGTCAGGATTTGAACCCAGGCGGCCCGGCTCCCCTGAGCTTTACACTCAACCCCTGCAGCGTGAGGTCTTCTGAATGTGTTGAGTGTGACTCACTGGGCTTCTAGTCCATCTCACAACCCTGGGGGCAGAGCCACCAGCAGCCGGCCTGTGTGCGGGCTCCAGCGGAGGGCCTGAACCCTAACCTCCCTCCCGCCCCCCGGCTCACCTCGCACCTGCTCAGTGAAGGCTCCTGGTGCCCCTCAGCTTTTCCCTCTCTGGTACGGAACTGACTTTCCATCCGACCATCTACCATGGGTGGACTTGGAGCACTTCGTTTCCTTTCTAGCCTTGCCAGACAAATCTTGCAACGGAAGGGATTAGCTGTCATCTCACATTGCAGGAGAAACCTGGAGGCTCTGGGATGTTGGGTGGTTTTCCCTAGACACAGCACAGCGTCCCAGGCCCACTAAACCCAGAGCCCAGGCTTTTGCTAGTACATGATGTGGAGTTACCGACTGGCCTTACTAGGGTTGATAAAAACAGCAACAAGAAGCATCGGCTAGCATTGTGAATGCTTCCGCATGGGCCACTCAGCAGCGACTCTCCCACCGTGTCCTCCCAGCACCTCTCCCGGCAGACGCCGTGACTCTCCCTGCTTTGTAGGTGAGGACACCGGCACCCAGAGATGTTCAGTCACTTGTGCGATGTCACGCGGTAGATAAGCGCCAGCACTGGGATCCGTTCTACAAGACTCCAGAACCCCAGGCTTGCTCTCCTGCCCCTGCCTTAACTCCAGGTTCCTTTTCTGAGTGTTTAAGCCATTTTTCCATTAAGTCATGATTACATCCGACTTTCACAAGAACGTGGTAAG